GGTTAGCAACTTTAGCCGCGCTTAAGCTAGATTTGTAAGCATGAATTAAGGAAAAGTACCCTCAAAAGCAAAAGCAAAGCATGGGCCCAGCATAAACTTGTATAAAAGTTTGCTTTTCAAGGACAATAATGTACTTCTAAGCCATACGTGGGGAAATCCTTTGGATAAAGACTCAAAAGTGGTTGTGAGCATTAAATGACGATGAGATTTATCAAAACAGAAATCCTGCAATATCAGATTATGTATCATAGCTTAATCTGGATCAGAAGTTCAGCATCAGCGCAACCTAGAACGAACATCCAACTTCTGATCTTTGAATCTCCCTGTTCCAGCATGTTCTGAAGGAATTCTCAGACTTTCCAGAAAGCTTGTAACGCGCTTTGTAGAACCTCTTTGAATTACTCTTGCAAATTTTGATTGAACCTTCGTGAAAACTGGTCCCGAAGTTCTAACCAAATCATGTTTTAGAAAGGTCCAAAATTTACTGAATGTTTCAGTTTCATTGTCGTGTCTTTGAAGATGTATAACTTGAAATTCCAGCATTTCTAGAAGAAGTTATGTTCTGCAATGTTTTAGATCTCATTGAAGTCTACAACTCTTGTGTTAGAAGTTCTTCCAGAATCAACTTGCATCATGGTGAAAATCTGGCCAGAAGTTCTGCATTTACCATATTTCCTAAACACTTAGAAAAATTTCTAAGTATTTAGAATTTTGACTCTTTCAACATAATCTTGACTTTTGATTTTTCTTGATCAAACAAATTTCATATTCTAACATGTCTTGATAAAATATGATTCTTGAGATTTGACTTTAATCAAAAAGTCAAAGTTTGACTTTTCAGTGTGCAATTGACCATATTGCCCTTGTACTAATTCAAAATCCAAATTGATATATCAGTGCTGCAAGCTTGATGTCATGGAAGATCTTGTGAGAATCCTTGAGAAATGAGATGGCAAATTTTGGGGTACAATACTTCCCTTTGCATAACCAACCTCCGTACTTAGATTCTCCCCCTCCTTTTGGATTTATTCGCTCTTTTCCCATTTCCTTTGGAAACAATAAAACGCGATGACGATTTTTATTTGATGCATGCGAGTTAAGTCAATCCAATGACTTGGACTCAATATTTCTACTGCTACAACCGCCTTTCTTGGTTCTTTGGCAAATTCGTAATAGATGATTTAATTGTATACATATAACTTTGAATATATCATTTGTTGTTTCTCATATTTTTGTAGAAGAGAATACATGTGCAGACTCTCTTATTAACCTAGAACTTACGGTTACAAATTCGATTCTATTTAACTCTATTCCGCTCTTTTTGAAGACAAACTTTACGAAGAATAAACTAGATTTACCTTTCTTCGTGTTCATTTCAAATTTAAAGGGTCTCAGCCTAACCTCCATCTCTTTCGTAACAATTTTCTTTTTATCTATATAATCTCATTAAAACAAAACTAGCTTACAATACACTTAAAAGATATTTAAGGAATACATTTAATAAGCTATTAATATACATAAGTCATAATAGACTACTTCAAATGTGATATTTGTTGCATGTGAGATCTAGTAATAAAGCTTTAAATTTTAATAATATGTTCTCTCAAAATCTCAAATTTAAATCCTCTTAAATATAAATTATTTATAAAAAAATTTCTATTCGTCAAACTCATTAAAATATAAAGAGAGTTCTAAAAATTATATAATTTTTAATATTTAATTAATTCACTAAAAAAATTAGTTTCTCACAAAAGTTGATCTCGTCTTTTATATTCAATCTTCCTGTAATGTTATATAATAATATAGTCAAATTAATATGTAATTATTTTAGTTTTTATTTCTCAATTTTTCATATTTTATTATTTTGCGTTATACAAATATTTATTTATTATTTAAATAATTTTAAATATATATATATATATATATATATATATATATATATATATATATATATATATATATATATATATATATATATATATATATATATATATATATATATATATATATATATATATATATATATATATATATATATATATATATATATATATATATATATATATATATATATATATATATATATATATATATATATATATATATATATATATATATATATATATATATATATATATATATATATATATATATATATATATATATATATATATATATATATATATATATATATATATATATATATATATATATATATATATATATATATATATATATATATATATAAATTAATATATTTAATATATTATATTTATAATAAATATTATAAAATTATCATTAATATTAAAATAGAGTTTTATCTCGACTCTATCAATTCGATAAAAAAAAAGTAGATACTCTACTTATATAATTTTAGAGGTTAGTAGGTCTCATTATATTGACCATATCATTAAATAATATTTAATAATTTAGTTTTTATATTTTATTTTTGACTAAATTTTGATTAATTGACAAATAGACAACAATTTATGTGGTTAAATAAATGAAAAAATCAATCATTTTTTAAATAAAATTAATTAGATATATTTTGGATAAAATAAATTACAATATCTTTCTGAATTGAAATTTGAATATGAATAAATTAGTTAACATTTGAATTTAGAAAGATATTGTATTAAAAATATTTTGGGTAGCAGGCAAGGAAGAGAAATGTAAAGATAAAGTATAGTAATAGAAGTAGTTGGGAATCATTAAAGAAGAAGATGCGATGGTGATAGATATGGTCCACTTGGGACAAAGGAGAGCCACACAAAATATGTCGACATTCCACGTGTGTAACTCCCCGCCAAGAATTTAATTCTGGTCCCATCCTAATGACATTGCCATTCCTCACCCCAAAAAATATCTACTACTAAACTTCTACTACCAACAAAGAATAATAAAGTTTGCTAGAAAATGAAGTAAGATTCTTACTATAGAAAAAAAAAGAAATTACTCGTAGTACTTCTCTTGTCTCAATTAACAAAAAATAACAACTTTTTTTTATTAATAAATTTGAAACAGCATTGTTTGGACGATTTTTCAGCCACATGAACTGAATATTGGGCAACAATGCACATAAAAGGAATCAAGCCCAATATTATGGAACACATTTTTTAGATAGAAAATAAAAATAATAAAAATATTTAAGAATTTATTGATTTAAAAATATCAAATTATTTATTTACATTAATTTACAAATATAAATAAGTGGTGCTGAATAGTCGTTTACACATATTTAATTCAATTGATATATATTGTTTAAGCTATAATTTTTTTGAACAAAGTAAAATTAATTTTTATTATTATGAATCAAAAATTCAATACAACAAGAAATTGGATAAATAATATTATATATAGTATAAGAATTGACCGTCTTTACTAACGAATGAATAATTGAATTTGTTTGACGTTTAACAAATTCAACTTCAAAATTGAGAAAATTACATAATAACAATTTAATAGTTCTCATGATAGTATAAAATTCAGAATTATCATCAGTAACTGACCGTAAAGTTCGCACTACTTTAAAAAAATCACTTTCGAAAATAATTTGATCAAGATTCAAGAAAATAACACTCTAGATAACTTCTTTAAAGAATAAGACTTCTGCTTTGAAAAAAAGAGAAATTTGCTAAATCCCAGACTATGTTATCCACCAAAAAAAAATAAAATACTATTATCGTCTTTAAATGTATAATTAATTAGAGAAAATTAGAAGAATTAAAAGAATTGATTGAAATTTAATAATTGTTTGTATAATTTTACTAATTTATTATCTAAAAGAATTAATTAATGTTTATATAAGATTATTAATTACATTTTGTTCGAAAAATGTAATATAATTAAAAATATATTAATAAAAAATATTTAATATAGTTTAAAAATTGAAAAGAGTCTTATAAATAATAGAAAATTAGACAAAATAAAAAATGATTAAAAAAAAAGAAAAACTTATCAATTTTGTGTTTTTAAAGAGTTTTGTAAAAAAATATTTTAAAAGACTATGTATAAATTTTAATATGTATTAATATTTTAAAAAATAATATAATAATATATACTAATTATTATATTGATTTTTAAATTTTTTAAAATATTAATATGTATCAAAATATATACGTAATCCTTTAAATTCATACCTTTAAATTAAAAACCAAGTAGCAAATAGATTTAAAAAGTCAGTTTATTCAAATAAAAGAGAGATTGATACAATATTTATTTTTAGAAAATTTAGTTTGATTCAATAAGTTTGAAGCAATAGTGTTGGAAGAATTTGCAGCCACATAGTAAATTGATTGTTGGACAACAATATACCTAAAGGGGCATTATCTTACCGATATCTAAAACCAATGAATGGAAGCAATTTTTTTATGCAAGTTTATAACAAAAGAGAGATAATGATCTACAATCTTTCATCTATCCAATCGTAGATCATATTCTAGATTTTCGCAACCACACTTTGTAGCAAGTGGTATTCAATTTATTCGAACTAAAAATATGAACATCATTCATTTGTTTGTAACAATCAGCAAGGAACCAAACTTTGTAAAGACATTATATCAAATACCAAGAGAATAAATTAATTAGGGAGAATCTAAATTTAAAAAAAGTTGTAATGAAAGGAGAAGGTAAAAAGTGGGTCCCAGGATGAAAAGAGATGGCTAAAAAGAAGCCACGTCATCAAGTATTGGGACACTCCACGTTTGAGAGAAGAGAAATAGATCTGATTGTTGTCACATCCAATCTAACAAGAAAAATATATTTTCCACCATTTTCGTGGCTCTTATCTTCTCACCCATTGAAATCGCTTTGAATTTTTTTGTAATATTCTTCTCTTTCTCTCTCTTGTTTTTCATCCACTCAATTTAACCAACTTTTTTTATATTTCAGATATTTATTTTCACTCTTTCAACTAACTTACATCAACCATTTAGGGTTTCTTCTCTGTTTGATGCGGGTTTTGTATTCACTTCGTAACTCTAGTTGTTCATCGTTTGAGAATGGGTGAAGTGGTGGTGAATGCTTCGATGCAGAGTGATAATGGCAAATGGGAGAATTTTCTTCCTCCGACTATGCTTAAGGTTTTACTCGTTGAGCCTGATGATTCTACTCGCCACATTATTTCAGCACTTCTTCGTAAATGCGGTTACAAAGGTTTTCTTCTTCTTCATTCTAACTCTCTTGTTTCATTTCGTTTTTCTAAATACTATTTTTGTTAGATCATCATTCATTACTAAATTTGTTTTATTACATCTAGTTGCTGCGGTTCGAGATGGCTTAAGGGCATGGGAAACATTGAAGAACAAATCATGTGGTATAGATATTGTATTAACAGAAGTGGATGTGCCATCAATTTCTGGTTTTTCATTACTTACTTCAATCATGGAGCATGATGATTGCAAAAAAATTCATGTCATAAGTATGTATTGACTTGCTACTCTGTGTCCTTAATTATTAATCTTGATATTAGTTAGTTATGGCTAAAGGGTCAGGGTTGATTCTCAATTTCTCATGGTGTAATTTTGCAGTGATGTCTTCTCACGATTCAGTTAGCACGGTGTTCAAATGTATGCAAAACGGGGCCGTTGATTTTCTCATTAAACCTGTTCGCAGGAATGAGCTAAGGAACTTGTGGCAGCATGTGTGGAGAAGACATACTGTATGTTAATATTCTTCAACTGTCTTGTAGGAACGCCGTATTTTTTTCATTTTTTATTGTCTTTAGTGTTGGCGTACTTATTATCCAATTTGTGTTTACTTCATTTACAGATTAGCATGTCTCCTCAAAATATAACATTGGCACATGATAAACTTGATGTTGCTGAAGAAAACAATACCGCAAGCAATAATTCTAGCGGTTCTGTGGCTTCCACACAGAAAATTATCGAATGCAGTGGAAAAAACAGCAAGGCTCAAGCTCAAGTAAGTTATGCTTCTGCACGCCATTAGAATTTCACTGAAATGATTTAATATGATTTTTAGATATGTTGGTTTCTGAGATTTCAGTGTGTTAGTTGTGAAATAGCAGTTGCCTTTCATCTGAGCTGATTTCATTACTAATGTTCTACCAATAACTTAAAATATATACCTTTACATATATGAAGCCACTCTCTTGTAAACTAGATGAAAACTTTCTCTCTAGAATAGACTATGCTCTTGAAGTTTCACATAGAAACTGCATGTTTTGGCAACTCTTGTGCAAAATACCTTTACTTGTACATCTCCATTTTTGGAAGCTGATCATGGATCATGGAAGATTTGCAGGATATGTCCCAGCTGAAGAGTTCTTCGAGTTTGAGCAATACGGACCAGGTGAAGCACGAAAATTCTACCAAATATGAATGGGAGTCTACTGAGTATAACGACGAAACTGGAGGTATGTAACTTACTCTTATCTTATAAATTTGTTTAATTTTTTGGCCTTTATTTTGTTACTTGCTGACAATAAACATTTATTGCAGAGAACTCAACATTGACAGCACCTAAAGCTGCAGGGTGTCACAAAATTTCCACAGGTTTAAGGCTAGGTCAATGCTATGAATATAATGATACAGAAAACCAAGCTGAAGAGTTAAGAACAGAGTTAGGCAAAGCCAATCCTCATGTTAATACAAAGATTCATCGACGGAATGATGACCTAGAAGAACATTCTGCTGGAGCTATTGACTTGATGGCTACTTTTGAGAATCTTCCAAAGAGCAGTTATGCAGATTGTAGTTTCAATGGTGGTAACACAGCAAAGTTTGAAGATGATACACAATTGGAACTTTCATTACAAAGAGATTATCCTGGCAGCTCACCTAAACCTACCACTGAGGAAGGGCAAATATTGAATCATTCAAATGCTTCTTCATTTTCTCGGTGAGCTCACTATTTGATTATGAACTTTTGAATTTTGAATTCTTAATGATAACAAATAACTAAACATATGTTTCATACAAATTTTTTTCATTGCCTTGACAAAGTAAGAAACTTCATTTGACACAAAAATGTCGGTTATAATTGTTTTCTGTAATTCTGCTTGTGCATGTTCTTTACCCATACTTTTCCCTGTCTTGTTTATGCTGTTACACATGTATAAATGTTTTTAAAAGCCAGCTAAATTGTAGATATTATGTGAACTAAAACGACATGAAAATTAAGAATTTATAATCTCCGGAATGGTAAAATTTGCCAAATTTCTCGAGAGACAGCAGAAATATTTGTGTGTTAATCATCATACAACAATTTTACGAAGGAGAATACTTAGATACAACTCCATAGATGTGGTTCATATTTTTCTCCAATAAAAATACGATAAATATACCTAAATATCTTTTAAGGAGTAAAAATAGGAAGAAATTGTATATGTCTAAGAGGAAATTATACACTTGTCATATTTTCATTGAAAAAAAGCATAAACCACATCTAAGGAAATGCACTTAAGTTTTTTCCTTTTACGAAAACTTCAAAGAGATGTTAATAGCAAAGTTTGAATGTGTAGTAGATAGTATTATTTTATATAGCTGTCCATAATAGGGTTTTATTGTGTTGGAAACTCTTATTTTATTGAGAAATGGGTATCAATTCTTGCTTTACAGAGCACATTTCTTCTTATGCATTTCAAATAAAAAAACTAGTTTGTTTTTTTATGATACTTATATCAAAATTCCTGTTTGCAGGTGTAGCAACAGTATGTTATTGCAACCTTTTTTTCCAACAAATAATTCGTATGAATCACAGAAATTATCTGAAAATACAAATACTACTTATCAGTGTGATGGAAAAAACCAAAAAGAGGATAGTAACACCTATCTGGTGATTGGTCAGTCTGTACAAGTTGATGCAAAATTTCGGAACAGTCAACATGAATTCTTTCCAGCCACCACCGGGGACACTTCTGATAACAAGTCTATGGAACATGATGATGTTTTTCATTCTATAAGCAACGCACAGTCAGGCATGAATCCCACATGGACACCTAAATCAATGTTCCAAAAAGAAAGTTCTCCATTTCCCACAAGTATTTCCTCCCATTCCAATCCTAAAAGTCAGAACTCAGAAGCTCGTCAATGGTCGGATGACACCACATATACTTGTGATCTATACAAAAATGATCAAAGCAATATTGATTGTGCTATGGACGACTCTCCATCTAACGGTCAAGGTTGTGGTACTAGCTTTTACCACGATGCCGAAAATCGCAACACTAGTGGTGTATGTGAAAGGCACTGGCAGCGGGAGTGATGGAAATGCCCCTCAATCTGTTGTAGGCAAGAACCACCTTGAAAGTTCTATTAGTCATGATCACTATGACGAGCTTAGAGACGCAAATTGTCACCGCACCAGCCATAGAGAAGCAGCTCTAACAAAGTTCCGACTGAAGCGAAAAGACAGATGCTATGACAAAAAGGTACTGCAACCACTATTTGCTCTGAAATTAGCATTATTAGTGTTTGAATTTATGTTGATTTATCATTTACTACTATCATTGTTTTTAGTAAGCTCATCATTCTGAATCTGCTTAAAGTAACTAAATCTGACTGTTTGTTTTCCGTAATCTAGAGCATACTTAAGCTGATATTTTTGGAGCTCTCTTAGATACTCATTGCTCAAATTTATTCTACAGGTCCGATATGAAAGCCGGAAAAGACAGGCAGATAAACGTCCCCGAGTGAAAGGGCAGTTTGTTCGACAAGTACAAAGCGTACTTGCGGTCGATACCGGAGGTTACTGAGATTGTTTTGTTTCATGTTGTCTTCATTATTGATTTACAGTCTGACTTCCAACACTAATTTTACACGACAATAATTAATGTAGGTCTGGTGAAATCTGTTTGATTTCAATACCTTTGTTAGTGTTTTCTGTCAGCTTGTTATATTGACTCATTGAGTGTATCCTACAAATTTAGGATTGTAATTATTTAGTGATTGGTTTGAAGTTTTGATTTTACCTCGTGTAAATGTTCTTTGTAATACCAATGTTGAAGACTCAAAACATTATAGCCTTGTTTGCTTTATAGCATAATTTGATATCATGTGAGTTTGTTAGAATCACTTGGAGTCTTCTGACATGTGCATGACGTGTGCATACTAGTTGTATGATCCAAACATGTGTAAAACTGAGGTAAAAACACATAATCAACACCAAATTTTGATTACATGCAGAATCTGTTGGTTTTGTAAGTCTACAAGTTTGTAATGTCGGTAAAAGAACTCAAACTAAGCCACGTCTCTTTCTATGGCTCTTCTTTCCATTGTCCCTTCTCCACTTTTGTTCTCATTTATTTTTGAACAAAGTAAAATTAAAAGCACCACGCACTAAAAGATAAAGAAAATATTATTCTTTTTGTTTTTAAACACAAACCGCATTAGCAAACGGTGAGCTATTCACTTATTTGTGGTCCTTACTCATTAAGAAATTGATTAAGCCATTAACTTCTAATTTTTAGTATTTGTGACAAATGAATTATAATAAATGAAGTAACTCAATTTTTTATACTTTCATTCAATATTTTGTTGTCTTCATCATCCATTTTTTTTATACGTTTGTTTATGATGATAGTGAAGTGAAAGCAAGTGTAAAACACATTGCCTACAAAAGAGTGATCATTCATCATTACACATATCAAAATAAAAATCAGTAACCGGGGTCATTGTACTTTTTGAATCACAAGTGACTTAATAAGTTAATACTAACTCTACTTTATAAACTTTTTTATGGTCCATTGAAGCCTCTATTAGTTTCCTTCTCCCTCACATTTGTATCAAATTCACTACTAAAACACCCCCACCAAAACTATCCCTTTCATTCTTTCTGTCACTATCAAAGTCCAAACATATTCCACACCTTTAACTTTAACATCTAAACATCAAAATCTCTTCTCTCATGGAAGAAAACCAAATCACTCAAAACCAACAACACCATCTCCCCCCTGAACACAAACTCCAAATGAACAAACCTATTTCACCCTCTCCTTACAGCACAAGCTCCTCCAAACGTGCTTTTGCCACATTCATAACCATCTTTCTCATACTAATCGGCATCACACTCCTTGTCCTCTGGCTAGTCTACCGTCCACACAAACCTCACTTCACCGTCGTCGGTGTCGCCGTCTACGGCCTCAACACAACCTCACCACCTCTCCTCTCCGCCACCTTACAGTTCAACGTCCTCATCAAGAATCCAAACAAACGTGTCTCAGTTTACTATGACAGATTCTCAGCTTTTGTTTCCTACAGAAACCAAGCCATAACACCACAGATCATGCTACCACCGTTATTCCTAGAGAAACACAGCCAGGTTTCCTTGTCTCCGGTGCTCGGAGGCACCGCGGTTCCTGTGTCGGTTGAAATATCAAATGGTTTGATGGTGGATGAAGGCTATGGAGTAGTGGGTCTGAAACTGGTGTTTCTTGGAAGGTTGAGATGGAAAGCTGGTGCAATAAGAACAGCACATTATGGTTTCTATGGAAAGTGTGATGTGTTGATTGGTTTGAAGAAAGGTTTTGTCGGTCAAGTTCCATTGCTTGGTACTCCACCTTGCTACATCGACATATGAAATTAAGCTATGTCCAAAAACAAAATTTCAAGTGTAATAAAATGCAATATGTTACTACTTTATGTTGTTCCATTTAATTAGTATATGTGATGTAAGAGTTTGAATTTTTTGGGCTTGTTTATGAATTTAGTGCATGTGTTACACTAGATTATTTTCTTTCTTTCTCTATGAATGTTATTCTTCTAGTGATGAATATTGAATAGTGTGTGCAAGAGGTGTTTGGAAATTTGGAATGGGTCCAAAGAATATATATGAAAAGATAGTAATGAAATTGTATGTTTTTATGAGGCCATGAATTTCAATGGTGGGTATCGCATCTAGCTAGTGAAGGCTCCTCCTCCATTGGAGTTTGATTCTCAAAATGTACGGAGATGGATAGTGCTCAAGGTATCGGGTTCCTGTCTTTCTTATGTTTGTTGGATGGATAGTGTTTTTAGTGGAATGAAGAACATTTACTATTATTATTAACAACACTAAAGTTACGGGAATCACTTTGGATGTAAATAGTGGGATAGCTCCTTTACAAATAAGTTATTCCATGGGAAGGATATAATGATTTATGAAAGGTGACAATAAACATACACCTTTTTTTAATAAATTCACTCATAAGTCGTTTGAAATAAATCAGCAACCTGTGAGTCTTTCTCATCAACACTAACTTGTTAGAGATCATGATGAAGCAAGATAGAAATACATGATAACTTCGAATCAGGAACTGACACTTCTCTTTGTTCATTTTGAGGGGACAATACCTGTTAGTGTAAGGTGATAAAATTGAGGAAGAAGAGAGAAAAGGAATAAATGTTAAAAGTTGTCACTAATGATTGAAAGAATTGATTGTATTAAATGTAAACCTAGTACACCTATTTATACACAAAGTAGCAAAGATAAGAATGCCACATAGGGCCTAAAGGGAATATCCTACCTATGACAAATACTAAATTACCCTCTAATACCATCCCGTAATTTAGTAACTTATCAGAAGTTAACAACACCAATTTCATCTCTCAAGTGAAGAAATTGGTCTGTTTTTATTGCCTTTATCAGAACATCTGCCAGCTGCTTCTGAGTGCTACACTGCAGAACTTCTAACACTCCTTTCTGCACTTGACTTCTGAGAAAGTGATACTTCGTCTCAATGTGCTTGCTTCTTCCATGTAGCACTGGATTCTTTGCAAGATTAATTGCAGACTTATTATCAATCATCAGCTTCAGAGGTTCCTCAACTTCAACCTTCAGATCATGCAGTAGATTTAGAAGCCAAACTGCTTGACAGACAGCCACAACACCTGCAATGTATTCAACTTCACATGTTGATAAAGCCACAACAGGCTGTTTCTTGGAACTCCAAGAAATTGGTGTTGGTGTAAGCCCTAGAGGCCAATACTTTTGGTACTTGTATCGAATTATTTATTAATAATAAAAGGCATTTCTTTATTATGTTTGCTTTCCAAAATAATAAAGTCCCTAGAATGGTTTATTTGTTTAATGAAATGTTAAGTGTGACTTAATCATGAGATCCTATTAAACATAAGACACTATTCTTAAAGTATCCGTAGTCAAACTTTAATGTGAAGTGGGATAACATTAAAGCATTAAGATTATTATGAAGATAGATTGATGATCACATCTCATGGATCATAGATAAAGAGTTATCAAGTCTTGACATATGTATGAATATTAGGAGTAATATTTATACTGGATTGACCCGCTATGAGAATACTACATAGAATGTTATGCAAAGTGTCATAAGTTATTCTCATGATGATAATGGTGTATACCACCCTTCGACCTGAAAACACTATAGACCCTAGATGTAGAGTCAAGTACTTTATTGCTGATCAAACGTCATCCGTAACTGGATGACTATAAAGACGGTTGATGGGTACTTCACAAAGCATGCTAAGGGACATGAATGACCTAGATAAAATTTTCTCATCCTGCATAACAGGATAAATATCTAAGGGCCCAATATTGAACTGGACAAGGGTGACACAGTGTATGCCTTGTGTTCAATATAGACATGAGGGCAAAAGGGTAATTGTACAACACAAATATTATCACGGAAAAAGTTTGGTCAGATCACATGACATTTTCGTGACTTGGGTAACAGTGATGTGTTTCTAGATACCCTCACTGTTTATTATATTAAATGTGTGATTTAATATAATTGCCAACGTCGCGAAAACCTACAGGGTCACACACATAAGGACAGGTTGATGAGAGATAAAATAAATAAGGAACATTGTAAGGTACTGTGCACTTAAGTGTAATACGGAAAGTGGTAAGGTACCACGTGGATAAGTGATATATGGTACATCATAAGGTATGATGTCCATAAGCTTAATTGGGCTTTTAGCTTATAGCCTTAATTGGGCTTTTAGCTTGTAGCCCACACGAGTGATTCTATAAATAGATCCCTTGTGATGAAGCAATTTCACTTGATGCAATTTCGTTTTTGATTCTCTCTTTCACTCAAGGTTTCCGTTCGTGATCAGCTAGCACTGTGACCGGAAGCGATCTGTTCGTGTGGACTGAGTAGAGGCGTTGTTCTTCATCAACGCTCGTGATCACAACATCAAAGGTCTGAATTGCCACAAGAGGTAAATATTTCTATCACTGACCATGTCCATTCGTAAGGATCGCTAAAGGAAAATTTTAAATTCCGCTGCGCTTTTGATCGCAATTTTCCTTCAGTGCTATCAGAGCCACTTACGAAACCATGGATTTGATAGTTGTTTATGTTCTATATTTTCTGTTTTGATTCGATTAAAACCAGAATGAATTGAATAATAAATGAGTAATTAAATTTGGCATCTGTTGTGTACGATTTGGATGATTGATGTTGACTATGCTTCGGAATCCGACATTAGTATGATGAAGCAGCGAGACATCGATCGTCCATAGGTTACACAAATAAGATCGATCACTTTTATATATGATATAAGTAAATCTGATGCAACGATGGTATATGGGATATACTGTTTCTGTTTCGTTCATTCAAACACTTGATGATTGTTATTCCTTTGACCGATCACTGTTCATATGCTTCGGAATCCGACATTAGTATGGTGAAGCAATGGCATGTGATTAATCATACTGAATTATCAATCGAAATGTGTTTGACAGCATGAAATTGTTGCATTAGGGTTCATGACGACACAAGGGTTGTGTTGTTGCAGAGTTATGCAATTAGGGTTGTGAATGCACAAGAGTTGTGCGAAAATGACGCCGATTTCAAATGAATTGTTCATTAAAATTTTGCGTCGGGGCGCTGCCCCTAACAACCCCGCAAAGGGGCGCTGTCCCCTTGACCCCCGTCCGCTGAACGGTCAGTGGAACCACCATCCACTGACCGGGCAGCGGAACCACCGTCCACTGACCGGGCAGCGGAACCCCCAGCTAACTCTGCGTAGTGTGATCAATCGTCGAAATTTAATTTTCCTTTTTTTTAATTAACAAAATTTAAACTAATAATAAAAGTGTGTTTATTATTATTGTCTTGTGGTGATCAGTTATGGTCTTAGTTTTTTCCTTTATTTTGTTTTGGGATTGTAAAATACGGCCTGCGTGTCGTGCCTCTCTCTAAAATTCTTGATGTAACTTCTTTTCTCATCTCACTCCCTCGTATGTAAAACGAGTTTCTTTTATGTAATGTAATGTTATGAAGAAAGAGAAGAATACAATATCAAAGGAGGATAACCTTGGAGATCTTGCTTGGAGAAGTTTAGATCGTTATTAGGTTAGCTTAGGTTCTCTCATTGGCTTGGGAGAACAATTGCGCTAGGGGCCATAACTGTATCCTTTTATGTATATTGATGTATGTGTTTGTATGTTGATGCATGAGAGAGACGAATTGCATGTTAAGCCGGTGAGATCAAACTAATAACAAAATCCCTCAAGTTAAATATTAAGTTCATGCTTTCCAAGTTTTAGCACTCATCAAGACTAGTATCGAACAATGTAGGTTTCGCCTACGTGAGGTGCATGTTCTATATTAGTAAGGTGCGATGAGATAATTGTAATATCCAACTGCTAAAACAATGGGTCAAACTTAACTAAACACATTATAATAAGATTATACATGTTTAGAAGCAAGAGTTGGGAATGATTCATATGATGAATTAGAATAAGGAGTTATTCACCCAACTGAAAATATTCGAGAGTTGTATGAGATACAATTGGAAGGAGCTCCTACCTAAATAACCTAGTTTTGTGTAATCAGCCTAACGCTGACTTAGAACGAAGTGAAATATGGATCTCGACCCACTAGAAAGTCTTCCAACGGGATTTTCCGAATCAAATGATGAGGGTCATTTGGTTTGAGTAAAATAGTGGGAGCATATTTGATTAAAGGCCTAATTAAATATGTTGTTTTAATGATACTTATATTTTCATTTTTTTTGTAGATTACCATGACAACAAACAACCATATTTTGCGATCAATCCTAGATAAGGAAAAATTGTCTGGGACAAATTTCCTAGATTGGCACCGAAATCTGAGGATTGTCCTCAAGCACGATAAGAAGCTGTATGTCTTGGAGACACCTGTTCCTGAAGAGGAACCACCTAGTTCGGCACCTAAGGCAGAAAGAGATGCTTATAAGAAGCATTTTGATGATGCTAATGAAGCCGCTTGTCTCATGCTAGCTACTATGAACTCGGAGTTGCAAAAGCAACACGAGAACATGTCAGCGTTCGATATGACCGGACATCTGAAAATGCTCTATCAAGAGCAGGCAAGAAATGAGAGGTTTCAGGTTTCAAAGGCCCTTTTTAACAGCAAGTTATCTGAGGGAAACCCTGTAGGTCCCCATGTACTCAAAATGATTGGGTATGTGGAGAACCTTGAAAGGTTAGGGTTTCCGCTTGGAAAGGAACTTGCAACTGATTTTATCTTGCAATTGTTGCCAGATAGCTTTAATCAGTTTGTCATGAATTTCAACATGAATGACATGAATAAGAGTCTTCCAGAATTGCTATGCATGTTGAAAACTGCT